CTCTCTCTCTATATAACTTTAGTGCTTCGGAATTGTTACTGCATATCAAGTATTTTGCATGCCTTTAATTCATAAGAATGCTTGTGTGTAGTAGGCTTTTAATTCTGGTCCACACTAGTTTTTCGGACACCGAAGATACAAAATTGGCAGTATCGGACCTCCATCATATACCAGCCATAAGTTTCGCAAGCTTTTCTGTATATCTTGTTGTTCCTCGAGCGGAGAAGTGGAGGTCGTAGGTATCAACAGTGTAGCTCAGTTACAGCCATTTCGGGGATGGACTTGTATATCTCTTGCTACGACTTACAAATGTTCTATACCATCACAATTAGGAATCGCAAAATGTGATGACATCCGCGTATGCGAGCAAGTGGTTCTTGCAGTGCTTCTTAGACAAGGTAACAGTGTGATCCAGACCCGACTGAGTGCGCCTATCCATTGCCGTGTGTGATTGTTGATTGTCTAACTTTAATTATTCAATTCGGATTGTGCACTAAATGCGATATGTAGTGATATATTTTAAATTTTGAATTTAACTGCGAGCTGAGCTGGTTAATTATTTGTTTTGTGTAACTAGAAAGCGCGCGTTCTATACTGGATTTTGTTGGCACGCTTGGGACGCCTGCTCATGTAGACGATTCCATGCTCCTGCCATAATTATTACTTTTCATTTTTAGACTATCGTAGTTCAGGCGCATTTCACCAAACATTCTGTATTTAAGATTACTTCCAAGTGCTCATCAGTCATTTTGCAATCCATTTAACTCTGACAGCTTCCGTTTGGCGTGGTGATCCGTTTGTGGGACTGTTTTCTTTTGGAAGGCTACACCGTGATACAGGCCATAGCCTTAAGCATAATCATATCAAACAAAAGTAAGTTTGCGTGGATGGAAGCACTCCGCACTCAGTGAGCGCACGTGTATATGTGCTGGTATGCGAATTCAGTGTAACGCTGTTCATAGATATACAGGTGGCCTCTACTATCGGAATTTTAGTACATAGGACTGATGTACGGACTTCTTGAACTATAGCTTGGTATTCAATCGATTAATCTTACGTACATATATTTAAATATTGCAAAAGGTGCGTAAAATGTTCGCTCAACTACACAATTTTGTTGATATCGTGTGCCAACTATGGTGACAATGTAGGCAATTACGAGTCAAAGCGAATACTTCGTTTCCACACGCCAGCCATTCACTAGTAAGGATTTGAACTAAAGATATGGCCGCTTAATCTGACACATGGGCAAAAACAATAGCGTGGGTGTGATAATTAATCAAGCTAGTCGCTTGTTACCGTATATTTTGCCGCAAAGCTGTGAACTCAAAATCTATGCGCGTCGTCAACTTACAGAGCGTCTCATGAAAGGCGACTTCGAGAAAATACTCAATTTTCTCAGTAGCGAGATGTCGAATTCCGAAGTGAACACGAAGGCACTTTTCAGGGTATGTTTATTCGTATAAGCGCAGATGATATTAGCATTTGGTTTAATGGTGAATCCCATTTAGGATCTCAGATTAGCACAGCCAGCACCTATCACAAATTTCAGAAGATTTCGTGATGAAGAAGTGTATGGTTGCTTCACTAAATCAGAGGCATGTACCGTCCTTATATCGGACTCCGTTTACGGCCACGACGGGTCAACACATTACTTGCGCGTATCAGTCCAGATCTACAAATCCGAACTGTGAACGCCCTCACACCTTCCCCTTTTACACTCCTTCAATACCATACTACCACTTTTTAATACGTCTTCCATATCTTACTATAATCGCAGTCTACAACGAAATATCTGGCAATGTTGAAAAAAGTGGACAGGAAGCAAAGTAGACGGATAAAGAAGTCACAAACATCTGTCAAGTAGGAAGTGTTCTCTACAGTGCCGATGTCTCGAAGGAGGAATTGGCATTTGCATTATGTAGCGAACATTGGATATGTTGAGCAGCGGCACTGCAAATAAATAATAGACTGATATCAGAAATCTTCATTGACGGGAGCAATCTAGATGATGTGCTATTGGGGATATTTGATACAATTGTAATACAAAAGATTGCAAAAAATATGCATTGAAATGCCTAAATCGTTGGTAGGAACGGGGAAAGTGTAACGCAATGCAGAATTGCCACCCCACGGTGCGACCAAGCTGAGCATACATATGCAAACTACACGACTCCAATCAGGGTGCTTAATACCTGTTGGCTTGTGATCTAGCCTCAAGTACGTAATCAGACCGCAGCACCAACTTGACGATTTTATGGAGCAGGTCGTGAACTCGCTCGGAATACATGATGCGCCTAATTCCGATCTGATTTCCAAATTATTTTTTTTGGGTAATTTTGTATACCGTTTTTCCTGATGCTAAATTGCATTTTCTTTGCACCATTAAACGAGGGTATGTTTTTCGATTTCGTTTTCTGGTGCCTGCTTGCATATCGATTGCAATCTTTGAATTACGCATATGCATCCTTATCCTGCATTGGACATGGCTTTCATTCACTTGCGAGCCCTCGGCTCGTTCTGATTCGAGCTGTTCTGATTATTCCTCGGATATCTCAGATGTTACCTTTAGTAATCAAACATTTCGCATTCCGTACACAGAGATCCACTTTCTTTGTTTCTGCAAAAATGAATGGACTACAAGCTTCCCGACGCAGAACACCGAGGTGTGTTGATGGTGCCTTACAAGTGAAACAGCCACGAACTCAGCGCAGATTTACATATGCTGGAAGATTAGGTCTTCTCTAATACTATGAACACGCCACTGTCCAATTGAAAGAAATTATCCCAAGGTTGGAGTAGGTTGATTCAGGTACACATAGTTGCAAAGGGTTCGTGCAAATGCCAAGCAAAAGCCCTCTACCAACTACGTATTGATGTTACGACGCCAGATACCAACGTTCTATGGTGCTGCTCTCAGCGCGCATCCAGATTAGCATACAGCTACTCTACAGCTAGATTCCGATCAGCGCTATATACCATGTTGTGTATCGGACCAACTAGAATTGTTACAAAGCTGTAGTGTATACCGACAACAAATATGCACGTCTAAAACCGGCACATATTTCTATGGGCGATGGGCTACCGTAAAGCCAACAATAACTGCCACAGAGAAGCGAGGTAGAAATTATTTACGGCCACCGTGTTGCTTTGATCGCACACAGTCCGAGAATTCCTAAGAAACACTGAAGTTGAGTGTTCGAATAGCCTCGTAGTACGAAACGATGAACGGTATAGAGGTGGCACCACACGGCTAGAACAAGTATTGTCGTTCACACTCCACTGTGTGCGTTCTTCTGGTACATATACCCATCTCCTAAGAAATTAGACGAAACAGTGCAGATGGTAAATCGGGAAAAAGATGACACGCATGCAATGTGTCAAGGGATCAATATTTAAGACCAAGGACTGCTTCTAAAAACAATATACACACCGAACGTAGCGGCTCGGTTTATCCGTCGCTGTTCTTCCTTGGATACAATTTCTTCGACAATCTCTCCATCAGCTCGCATAAGCCTAACCACAACAGCAATTGACGATAAATATGATTGAGCCATTTGATTCAATTCTATGCAGATTGACCCGTCCGCAACGCAAATGGAAAAGACCAGTCGGCCAAAATTGAGCTTTGAAGCACTTAATGGGAGTACACACTCCAGTGTAGTCAGAGTCAATACTGGGCGTAGTATAAATAACACGCAGTCCACTTTAAAATGCACATCAGCAAACCAGACTTGCTCAGGGCGAGAGCGAGATCCAAAACTCGCATCCGATAAATGACCATACCTTATACGGCCGGACTCTGGATCGAAAGCTCTCACCACCCGACTTGCTAGATCCTCGTGCTGCGAGAAGAATACCCGAAGTCACTTCATTTGTTAAATTTTGCGCTTGCGACGTTTAGTGGCGCACATAAAGAAGGATGGATAAGTTGTACACGAGCACAGCCTAGATGGTACCACATCCACGCGAACACTACCATTGCTTTGGTCATCGGAGCTGCAGTCTTCCTCGCCTGAACAAGTTTCTCGTCCTGAGGTGCCAAGTCTTGCTTGTATTTCTCAGCAAATCGATTTCCTGTTATCATAATGGGAAGAGATTTACATTCTCATATAAGTAGCACTTGTACAATGCATGAGCCCAGCCAGAATCCAATTCCGAACAAAAAATTCATAAGTAATGACCAATATTACCCCGTAGACAAGGAGCTATCTCAAAATACGATACTCTACTCTCCATACAAAGACAAATATTGGTAGCTGCCTCGGGTAAGTGATAAATTCCATTCCCATCCTCCACATACAGAGCTAATGCAGATCATAACTCCTACCTAATTAAAGTCTTTTGGGACGCTCTCGACGATTCTCAGCCAATCTGAGCGGAGCAAGTTGATAAAAGAGACCATATGCCTTGCTGCGAAAAACTCACCTGACAAATGTGCTAATGTGTCTGGTGTGTCTTTTCCGTTGCGAGGGCTCTTTTTCATCCAATCGAATACCACTGCACTGATCTCTACAGGCTTACTTTTCGCTTTCGCGACTTTGGCTTTCTTACGTTTCGATTTATGTTCCTTCTTGTCACTCTTTGTTTTGTGTCCATATTTAGATTTCGATCTAGCTCTGTGCTTCCTACTTCGCTCTTTCGAAGATGCTCTTTTTTGTTCCTTTCTGCGGCGATGGCTACAGTGTAGCACAATAAGAGTCGCCAGAGAAGGTAAATACCGGAGCATGTACATACCATATATATCCAGATATACATACATTACACACACACACACATATATATATATATATACCTAAACACACTCACGCACACACACACACACACACACACACACACACACACACACACACACACACAACACACATATATATATATATATATATATATATATATACAAACAAAATACACACACATATATATTTGTATATTGATATACATACATACATACATACCATACATGCATGCCTATATATGTATACATACATACATACACACACACACACACACACATA